GTTAAAACATAATTGAAACCAGAGACTTTTCTTCTGGGAATAGAATAGAAGAGAATAGAAGAGTTGGAAGGGACCTTGGAGGTCTTCTAGTCCAACCCACTGCTCAGGCAGGAAACCATATACCATTTCAGACAAATGATTGTCTAATCTCTTCTTAAAGACTTCCAGTGTTGGGGCATTCACAACTTCTGGAGACAAGGTGTTCCACTGATTAATTATTCTAACTGTCAGGAAACAAGTAGAAAAAGGTAATGAAGCCCTGTTTTTATATATGACAAATACAGTAAGATTATTATATGCTCAAAAATGGAAAAACTTGACATTATTCGCAATGGAGGAATGGCTGGTGAAGAGGATGGAACTTGCAGAGATGACTAAACGGATTCATTCATTCCATATAGACTGGCAACCTCTTATAGACTTTTTGAAACAGAAAACAAATTGCACTCGTGATTTGTGGTTTCGATTAGGAAAAAGAGAGAGAATAATAAAAATGGACTTTAAAAAGCGAGCTCATTTTTTGTAGTCATAAAGTAAGTGTTTATATTATAAATGCACTTATAGCTGCTGCATAGAAATCAGAATCTTTTTTCTATTTCTTTTTGTTCTCTTACTTTCTCAGTTTGTTAGTTTTTATATTTTTTTGTAAAACTTTTAATAAATTTGTACACAGGCAGGCAGGAAGGCAGGCAGGCAGGCAGGCAGGCAGGCAGGCAGACAGACAAACAGACACACCCTATTATATCCTAAAGCAAAGGTGTATGTTTATGGGGAAGTGTTGAATGAAGATTGCAGAAATCTCTTTGTAATTCTTTTGATTTAAATAGGCCATGCCTTCTTCCCAACAACCAGGAGCAGACAAAGTGAATGATATGGGAGGAATTCTCCTTCTTTTATGGGGGGTGGGGGGATCTTTTTTCAATAGACAGACATTCCTAAAAGCTTCCCATTCACCTCCAGCATACCAAGAGCGTGGAATTGTTTTGTTGCTCTGTCACATATATATTGTTCTGGACTACATCCTGTGCTGGCATGCCAAGAAACAATGGTGAAGAAAACCAGTTTAACACATGTGAAGAAATTATAAGAATATGCTGGGAGAAAAATGGAGATAAAGAATCAACACTAGTCTCCTTTTAAGAGATTTTGAATGGCCAAATTTGATGGTCAGTGAAATCACAGATGATTGTGGTTGCAACAAGCCTGCAGAATTATAAAAGCAAGAGGAATTATAAAGTTCCGCCACTGTAAAAAAATGTTTTCTGAAGGTGGATGCCAATGGCTAGGCAATCCTTCCTGATTTGATTTTAATGGACAACTAGTACAATTTCTTAAATTATCTCCACGTTTTTCATACAAACTGTTCTGCACTGATCTCTTCAATTTTATATGCAAAGAGCTAAGTATATCTCCCTAAGATGGAAGTAATTTTTGTTAACAATTAAATGTATTTTTCGTAAGTGTAGGAATAAAATTATTAGCGTACTTATTCCCAGCTGAAAATCTTTAGTGCAGCTCAATCCCATCTCTGCAGCAGAATAGGTCTTAATTGACATACTAGTATATCACTCCCAACATTTGATTAATACTGTAACATAGTTAAACCTGTTTTAAATAGAAAACATGCTCTGTGGGTTTTTTTCTTTCTTTTGAATTTAGAGTTCTTGAAAATTGAGGAGTTTGTATCTAATTTTGTAATCTTGAAATTGGTCTGATACAAGCGGGTGGAGCTTTTCTGGTTTGCGTGGCCTGGTTTCTGCCATGACTGGTGGTTGGAAACACCTGGTTTAGAACATCAACTAACATCCTAGTCAGCTGAACAAGAGAAATAGGTGATGTTAATTCCTTTATGACTGAGATATCACAGGAGCAGAGTAGTATTCAGCAAGTTCTGATCAGTTCTGGAGAATCGGTAGTGGAAATTTTGAGTAGTTCAGAGAACTGGTAAAGACCACCTCTGACTGGCCACACTCCCATCTATTCTCTGCCTCCCGACTCCCAGCAGATCGGGAGGAAATGGGGATTTTGCAGTAACCTCCCCCTGGAGTGGGGAGGGAATGTAGATTTTACAGTATCCTTCCCCTGGAGTGGGGAGGGAATGTAGATTTTACAGTATCCTTCCCATGTCTTGCCCACAAAGCCACACCCACCAAGCCATGCCCACAGAACCGGTTGTAAATTTTTTTGAATCCCATCACTGCACAGGAGGCTATGTCAAATGCTATATAGTAAAAGTCAATTTGGGAGAAGGAACAGTTATAGGAAATTATTCAAGTAAATAAAGTTAAATTTAGAATTATTTCAAGGGCATAAGAGATCTCTGTAGGTGCTGGAGTCAAAGAATTTTTGGCAAGGAGGTCCTTAGATATAGGAGCAGGGGAAAAAAGAAAATAATAGGCAACAGATACTTAGAGATAAATATACTCTATATTAAGACATTTGCATAATATTCAGGTTTTTGTTTATGGGGAAAAATACATTTACTCTAAAGCTTTGGTTCAGAGACATTCTGACTTATACAATTAGATAATTTCGAAGTATAGCCAATGAGAACATGTGATTTATAAATGTTATTCTATTAGTACAAAACTGCCTATTTTAANAAAAAAACAGTCTGTCTGGGCTTGTCTGCTGAAATGAAACTAGCTACTTGTGTTTGCCTGTAACTCTTCTGCCTTGTGTTTACTTGAAAGACCCACCTGTTGGTATTGTACATTTATCCATCTATTATGTATATAAAGAAGTTAATGAATCCTGCTGCATCAGTTATCTGTGTGTGCCTTCTGGATTTGAATTTATGCAACAAACTCTGAAACTCCCCCCCCCCAAAACCCATTACTCTGCCTCATCTTACCTATGTTACATTTTAAAGGAGCAGAAGTTCCTTCAAATCATCTGTCTTCAATTCCAATCAATTATATCTAATTCAAAATAATCTAGAATATACTTACCATCCAAATCGTATTCCAGAAACTGCAGCGGTGAATTTGCAGTAAAGTCAATGGAATGTTCGAAGGCTTCCTTGGTGTTCTTCACAGCTGTGTTCCAGGTAGCAGTGTACAATGGGGAAGCGACCTTGGCAGAGCTAGACAAAGCTCCAAATTTGGGGAAGTAAATTCCAGCAGGTAAAGAAAATGCGAAAGCTGGTATTTCAATCTGCTGTTGAGGGATTGTAATTGTAGGCAAATCAAAATCAGCTATCTTGTTGATTGCAGCATTCAGATCCAGATTTAGGTTGCCAAGAGAAAGTGTCTTTGGAAGAGTAAATTGGGGCATTGTTACATGGTACTTGGGAACAGTCAACTCAAAGTATGGGATTTTATTTTGTTCCAGATTATTGTATTTGGTTACTACATTAACTTGGGGAAATTGTACTTTCGGTAGCAGAGGAAGGTTGATATCAAATGATGAACTTTCCAACTTTTCAGGGATTTTGAACTCACGTTGGACAATGGAGTAAGATGGATTGTCAAGACCGTTTGCTTGAATTTCAGGAATCATGATTGTAAAGCCATCTGCCAGTCGATTGACATTTATAGGGAAAAAATACCCATCTTCATTTTTTGTGTATACTATTTTTGTAGATGCATTTAGGTATTGCTTCTCTTCAGGTCTAGTGGTCAGATCTAATTTTAAGATGTCCCATAAACTCCTTTCATAAATTGGCACTATAACTTTTCTGAGAAAATGGATACGTCCTCCCAAAGATGCTGACAAGTCAACTTGAGCTTCTACATTATCATTTGCTAACTCCAAGCCATGTCCAAGGAAAAAATTAAGGATTTGGCCTTCACTCGTCCAGCTAATTTTTTGATTTCCATTATTAACAGTCAGTGAAAATGCTTGATTAACAGAAGTCTCATCAAAGAGATTACTTGGTTGGGCAACTTGTATCTGAAGGCCTGCTGACATAATACCAGGAGCTAGTTCCAGAGTTACTTTGCAGATCTGATTTCCTCTAGTTCGAAGTAATGGGAAATAATTCAGATAGTTTTCTCCACTATGGTCCCATAAAGCATAAATACGATCGGTAGATGCTTCGATGGCAACATTTTCTTTTGCATCAAAATTCCAGAAGTCCGCAGAATTTGAACTGGTCTCAAACTTCATACCTGATCGAATACCTTTAGAATTCAAATAAGTATTTGCTTCATGAACCAACTTCCCAGAAAATGATTTTCCTTCATAAAATTTACCATTGATAAAACCATTGGTTAATGTATCAGCCGATATATAAGATATAAAACTTTCTAGTTTAGCTTCGTGGACAACTGCTGCTTTAGTATTGACATAATTGTTATCAATATCATAATCTATATTTATTTTTGAAGATATTATCGGTATTGCTTTGGCATTTCCTTTAAGCTCCTGTCCATAATTTACTTTCAAGCCCGGTACGGTAATCTTTGCTGTAGTTACCACTGAAGCTTCTATGTTTTTCTTTGTGAAACTGATAGTGCTGTCATGATTTCCTCCTATGAATTGGTTTCTCAGGGATAATGCAGTTGCTAGTTTCAGACCTCTCTTCCTTGTGATGCTTGTGGTCCCAGCCAACTGATATTGTAGGGCATCAATCACAGAAGTGGAGGAGGAACTCAATCGGGCAACAATATCAGATTGGTTAAAAAAGCCAGCGTTTGTATTCAGGGTAATCATGCTAGATTTAAATGAGAAATCATAGGTAATATTTCCAAAGGCTGGGATAGAGATATGGTTTGGCAGGGGGCTTACTCGATAATTGGGAAGCTTCAGTGTTCTCAGGCCTTGGGGAATATGAAGAACTGGCAGCTCCAGTGATGGAAGGACAACGGTATATGATGGCATTGAAAACCCGACAAATGGAACAGTGAAAACTGGAGTCCTCATTTCTTTTGGAAGCACATAACCAAAAGTTGGGAGTTCTGCTGTAAAAGAAGAGACTTCAATATTAAGCACAGGAATGGTGTAGCTCGGAATCCTGAAGATTTGTGGGCTTTGGTTTACTGAAGTATCCACTTTGTATTTGTCAAACTTGACCTTGGCTTGGTTGTAGGAGTCTGTCAGAAATGCTAAAGTATGGTCTCTATTTCTTTCAAAATGTTTGTTGAAGTTCACGATGTAATAATTGAGTGTTTTGTGCACCCCATCTAAAGGAATTGGAAACGAGTGTACATCTTTGTTCTTCTTGTACTGAAGTTTTACATTTAAATCAAATGATTGTTTTGGAGTTTTCAGTAGCCTTTTCAGCCCCGTTTCTTCCCACAGAGAGTATTCTTGCACTTGGGGTATCCTGACACCAATGTAGGGAACAGATTGTTCAGGAAATGAAATAGGGATATTTAGGAATTCCAAGTTAGCATCACCATTCATGGATACAATAGCTTCAGTACTATCTTCATTATTACCAGCAGACAAGTTATGAGTGTATCTATATTGGTTAAATCTTCCCTCAGCTACCCAGCTAACTTGCTGAGTGGAAGGACTGAGCACCAAGCTGTAGGCATTTACAGACTCAATTTTTCCAACTACTTTGAATGGGAAGCTAACTTTTACATTCACATTGTTATTAGCTGATGCTTTAATTTCAAATGGTTGTATTGAAAAGGACACACCATTATTTATTGTCCCGGAGATGCGTCCCGTCACCTTAGCATTGTGTGTAGCAGACAGTTCCATTTTCAGCTGTACGAGGTTCCCTGCGCCTTGCACATTTAAAACACTCTGCCCAAGTTGCGGAGACTCAATTGTAGACTCCACCTGAAGCTTTGAAGAACTTGGCAAGTTGTATTCATACACCGCTCTTTGGTTGACTCTTAGGTATTTGGCACTTATCCTGTTTTCTGCTACAAATGCAGCTATGGATCTCTGTATGGTGAAACTGACTTTTGATTCGTGGGTTCCTTCATCAGAGTAGTCACGAGCAGTCCATTTCCAATTCCCTTTACCAGTGGAAGTAGCTGAAATGTGTCCAGCTTCCAATGCTGTTTTTATTTCATTGCTTAATTCAGCTTGGCTAGTGAACTGGGCGCTTGGAATGTTGAGCCTATGTGTATAAAGCGTCTTGCTGTCCATGGAAATAATCTTGTTCAGGTTGACTGTTAATTTGTTATGCAGTTCTATAGCATTACGTGTAGTCTGGAAGCTGGCTGTTGTTTCAGCATTTCCTTGAACGGATGCTGTCAAAAATACGACTTCACTTCCGTGATCGGCTTTAAGGTACAAGTTGGTGAACTTCAGGTTTTCTTTTAGGATTAACTTTTTCATCTCAGGTGCCAAAAGGTGAGTATTTGCAGTTAGGGTGAAAGCAAGGAAGTCGATTTTGGATACCGCTATAGCCGAAAGAGAGGCTACAAATTCTGGGCTGTGGGCATCTGCTGTTACATTCTGAAAACCAGCATTAGTAGTAAGCGTAAAGAAGGGAGAAGCAATTCTATAAGTACCAGACAGCTTTCCAAATGTAGGGATAGTTACAGTATGTGGTATACGTGGTAACTGGAATTCCGGAATTGTTATATCTGGAAATTGAAATTCATTCAAGTTCAGCTTTGGAATCAATAATTCGGGTACTTGTAACTGGGGCAAATTCATTTCAGGTAAAGAAAAGTCTGAAAAATAAAGATCCTTGATTTTCATCTCTTGAAAGTATGTATCAGTTGCTGGCAGCTGAAAGTCGCTTGTCATTAATTGATCTATTATCCTCACGATCTTCACTTTCATTTCATTAAAATCAATTGTATAGGAGGGAACTTTAATAATGTTTAGAATGACAAATGCAGGAGTAGTAAATCTAGCTGGGATTCTGATTTCATTTAATCTCTTGAAATTTATCTGATAAGAAGGCACACGAAGGTCTGTTAGTGGAACAATAAAATCTGGGGTTTGAAATGTTGCATCCTTTAAGGCTCGGAGACTAACTTCAAAAGTTGGTATGTTGATTATGCCTAGCCTGATTGCAGGAACAATAAACCCAGTTTCAACGAACTGGTTCAGACGGTCAGCCATATTTTTTGCATTGTATTTCTCTGCTAAAACACTAATCTTCTTTGCAGTAATGTCCCATTTGTCAACTAGATAGGAGACTACGGTCCTGTATAGCTGGCTTGCTTTTTGAAGGATTCTTTGGCATTCTGTTGGAATGTCCATTTGGTAAATTCTTTTGCGTGCATCTTCCAGGAAATCATAGATCTTTCTTTTCAGTTCCTCTATTGCTGTAGAGCTTAGAAGATCATTGAACCAGTTCACTGTTGCAGCAAGTCTACTATCTTTCCATTTCTCAATATATTGGGAAATCACAGCATGGACATCTTTGATGTATTGTTTTGCAGCTTCCAATTTTTGTGGCAGCTCCAAAGCTTTAATTTCGTCATTGATTTTTTGAGTTGCTTGCCGAATTTTATTGTTTGTTTCATCTACAAATTTGTTGTAATCAAAGGACTTCAGCTTCTTTATTGCAGAGTCAAGGAAGTCATTGATACCATCAACTAGCTTTTTATAGTCAAATGTTTGGAGATTCTTAATTGCATCATCGATAAACTTCAAAATTTGATTGAAGAATGGTTTTATGTCAATTTTTTTCAATGTGATGGCTAACTGCTGAACTGTTTCTGAGATTTTCTGTTGTTTATATAATTCTACCACCTTATCCATTAGAACCTTGGCCTGCTCGTCAATATTATACTTTTCAATAAGTTTATGCATGTGGACTGTGAATGCATTGATCTTCTCAGATATCTCATAATCTTCCATAAAATTTAGAAGGATGTCTTTGATTTTTCTAAGGAGTTGGTCTATTTTTTCAAATGGAAATTGTACTTTTAACTTTCCTATAAGCATTTCGACATCAATTGTTTTTATTTGCTGCTTCAAAGCTTCTGCAATACGTTGGGCATCGAAATTCTGAATCTGATTCTTCAGTTGATCAAGTTTTTCTTGTATCTGAGCTCTGATTTTGTACGTGTCATCCACATTTTGAGCCCATGCAGCAGCGTTGTTTCTTATTTGGCTAGGGTCATACTCAGACATATAAGACTGGAGTTGCTGAATTGTGTTGATCATTGTCACACTGATTTCATATTGCTTATCTAGAACTTTTATTTTTTCAACAATTGTCTCGATAAGTTGCATGATAGCTGGTCTTAAGTCAAAATTCTCCTTCACATACTTTTCAGTTTCCGTCAGAAATACTTGCAGTTTAGTCAAAACCTTTAGCAGATTAGCTCTAGCATTTTCCAATGTGCTTTGAAGGTCTTCAATTGTTATGCTATAATCTTTTGTGAAAGCATCCAGATTCTCTTTCAATTTATTCACTTTACTTTCCAAATCGAAAGAGTTCACATAGTCATTCATTTGCTGGGGAAACCTATCTAATGCTGTTTTGTATTTTCTCATAAGCTGGTCTATATTTATGCTCTTTAGATTCTTCTGAATGGACTTCATTGCAGTTAAGATGGAATGTCTGAATTGCTCATAATATGCCGGAAGTCTTTCCAAGAAAGGTAGATTGATGACATGCACATCTGCATTTTTATCATATTTGAGAGAAAGAGAGAGGCCAAATTCTTGAGGCTCGGCTATATTTTCTCTTAAACCCAGGGTATCTATTAGATTAAGTCTTTCATCATTTGTGAATGGTATCTTCATAGGAAAGTCTAGTACAGAAAGATCAGCTAAAGTTTGTCCAGTCAACTCCACACCAATATTTTCAGCATTGTTAAACACATTAAAGTCTTGGGTATATACATGGCTATTCAGCTGACTCTTCGTTTTCCAAGCACTGCTTTGTTCAGATGGAGTTAAAACAACAGTGACTTTGCTATCTAATCCAGTGTTGTATCTTCCCCTAGAATTGGTGATGTGGTTGGTTGATCCCTGGTAATCATGCGAAAAGACAAACGCAAGAGGTTCTGCCTTTAGAAGGAATTTGCTATACAACCGCCCAGACTGTTCTCCCCAAAGTGCCAAGCGTCCGTCTCCATTAGTATGCATATCCAAAGTGACAGTAAAGGGGACAGCCGCAGACCGTATTTCATTAGAAAAGGTTAAGAATTTGGAATCACAGTTTGTGTTGACAACGATTGTAGAAGAGAGTCCTGCGACGTTCAAGTTAACTTTATGGGTAAGCGCTGCGCCTTGGATGCTTGCAGCTGTGTCCGTCTTCATATGTGCAGTCAGATCTCCATACGTAAAGATATAGGTATGCTTTATCTCATTGCCTCTATAAGCACCTTTAATATTACCATCCAGATTTACCTTGAAGAGCTCAAGCTGCAAGCGGGCTTTGTTGTTTACAATGGCACTGCTGTATTTCAAATCATTGTTCAAGTTGGCTGTGAGGGAAGAGGGCTGTAGCTGCAGGTCCACATGATGTTTGTGGGATATGTCTGGGTTAATAGTGTGGTCCAAATTGGAAACGTACGTCAAGGACAACCCTACGGTGTTCAGCTCATGGGTGTGCTCAAACTTCATTTGTTTGTAGGATCCTGTCAAACTGTTTGAAAATCGGAGCTCTCCATTATTTACTCGGAAGTTCAGAATATTTTTGCTGTCCATATCCAAAATGCTCCCTTGATATGTGCTCAACAGTGCTATTTCTGTGAGGGCTAGTTTCCCATCCAAACTGAATCTTGCATTGTGTATCCCAGATCTTCCATTGGTGTCAATCTTCAGAGAAGCACCAGAAGTGCCAATTCGTGCATTCATTTCATTCTGGAAGACCAGTAAGGAAAGCTGCAATTTTGTTGTTGCACTGCTCACCAATCCATCCTGCTTAATACTTAGAGCAGACTTGTGTTCGGCTTTGTTCCTTTTGTTTTCCAATGACAAATCACTGATGAGTTCAAGGCCTTGGTTATTAACAGAGCCTGATACCAGGGCATAATATACATTTTCAAAGTAAGTGGTCTTTAATTCGGAATGAAGGATAGCCTGTTGCTTGTCTAAAGTTAATTCAAACTTGTTGTTTGTTTCAAAGTTTGGATAGGCTCCCTTTGCCTGTGATGACAGTTTCAGCTGGTTGTTTTGATACTTTAAGGAAGCCTCATTAGTCAGAATGAAATTCTGTATGTTTGTGGTAGAGGACAGACTCCATGCATCCGCTGTAATTTTTTGGTTCATTTGGTTAGTAGCCACGAACAAGGAAGAATCAAAAGTCAGGGATGAATCCCATACCAAGTCGAGATTGTTCTTATTAGAGATGATAGATTGTGAGTATTTGGTTTTGGCAAAAATTGTAGCAACCTTCCATTGCCCTTCTAGTTTGGTAAAAACAACACGTGACTGGTCATTCTCAGTGGAATCCTGATTGACAGACAAGGCAAACATAACTCCGACGGGGCTGGAAGTCTCCAATGTCATGGTATTTTTGACGGTGGGATTGAGTCCATATTGGTTGACCCTGCTGAATTTAAAATTGGAATTGAGGAGGCTGTGACGGAGTGAGTTTTCATAGTCATAGGTAAGTCCATTTCCGTCATAACTTGCTTCTCCCCCACCTGAAATAAAATGGGGGGAAAAACATTAGTAACTCTAAGGTGCCAAGTAGCTTGAACTACTGTGATGTTTAAATGCTTGCTCTCCTCATTCATCGTTCATGAATTCTGTAATTCAGATGTTTAAAATGCTTGTATACTTAAAAGTAAGCCGTGCTGTGTTTAATGCGACCTTGCTCTGATTAACTGTGGGCAGAGACCGACTTGAATAGGACTAATTTTTTTTTCCTTCCTAGTGTCAAAGGAGATGCAGTTTATTTGCCAAAATTTTCAGATGTGGTTTCAAATTGTCCTTTTTCTAAAGCTCAGAAGTAATGGCTGACCAAACATTACCCAGCTGCCTTTTGTCTNGTTAATCTGGGTGGCCACAGGATCAGCAGGAGGTGTGGCTTCCAAAGATTTCCTCAATCTCCAATAGGCAAGAAGACTTGGTTAATACCCATGGTTACTCCTCCCACACTTCTCATCGAAACATGCAGTTTAGGTAAGTCCAACTGCCATTCTCACAATTGTTGAGATTCTGCCCATTGTGGGAAATACTTAGTAAGGCACTAACAAAATATCATGAATGGGTGGGACTGCAATAAAATGAGATGAATGGACCATTTTTGCAAATACGATCTAAAAAACCTATTGAACATCATTTCCCTCTCCCATGAAAAAGGAAATGCATTAGGGATAAGATAATTGACAAATTAAAGAAGTGAATATTGTTTTTTTCCTACTGATAGTCCTTGTTTAATGACTATCTCAGACTGACTGACTGCAGTTACAACACTGATGAAAAATAATTTTGTGATTATTGCCATTTTTTAGGACTTTCACAGCATCTCTGTCTCAGCCACATGCTTGATTACAGTCGGTATATGTTGTCCTGTGCCTAATCCATTTTTTTATTTTCTCCATAGCACAGCATTAAAAAAATCACTAGGGGAAAGTTAACAAACTAATCTGTGACCTTAATTAGGTGCTTAGAATCCTCCCACCTGTCTGCAGTTGCTGCCTGTAACTGACAAGACCCTAATCAGTTTCACTTAAAGGCTTTGTTTTACCTCCTAAGTGGCTTGTGGTAGCAAGTGCCCTAGGCAAAAAACTGTCTCTTACTCACTCCTTTCAATGTGTATTCTCCATTGTGTGCTTACATGTTGTCCTGCAATCCCATCCTCTCCAATGAATGTAAATGAAAACATAAATTATCTTTTTGCTAATTATCCAGCTCTGAGATGAGCATTCCAAAAAGCAGAAGAGTGGGGTGAAAAGCAGGAATGAAATTCAGTAGGTTCTGACAGGTTCTAGAGAACCAGTAGCGGAAAGTTTGATTAGTTTGGAGAACTGGCAAATACCACCCCTGGATGCTGCAGTGTGGGGTGGGAATGGGGATTTTACAATATCCTTCCCCAGGAGTGGAGAGTGAATGAGGATTTTGCAGTATCCTTCCCCTGGAGTGGGGAGTGAATGGAGATTTTGCAGTATCTTTCCCCTACCACCCCCACCAAGCCACCCCTACAAAACCGGTAGTAAAAAAAATGAATTTCACCACTGAGGAAAAGAGGTATAAGATTTGCCTTTGTGAATTAAGTTCATTAAATCTTCTCCACTGTTTGGGCTTGCCCTGCTGTTTGGAGTCATATCCTCCTGATGCTGTAAAGCAAAGGAAAGCTGAAGTAAAATTGTAAGCACAGACATAGTCACATAATTTTTCACTTAGTTGAGTTGCTAGTCCCAACTGCAGTTACTAAAGCACTGCTGTAATTAATTAAAATTAAATAAAAGTTTAGCAAAAAGTTAACTTCAGAGACAGAATTTCTTCTCTTGATAAAATATGGAAACGTGCTATTAAAAAATCCCTAATATGATTGATAATTCAATTTTAAATAGTTGCAATGGAAAAAATGAAGTATTTGTTTTAAATAATACCTGTTTGATTGCTTTGACCTAGTACTTTAACCTAGCCAAATGAACCAACACCTACAGCTCTCATCCATGAAAAAGTGTGTAGTTTTAATACTTTGAAACTATAGATAGTTTAAGATGTGTAGAGGTCAACATTTGCTTTTAGAAATGCATTAGTCTCTTTTATACTGAGTCAGTCAGGGCAATCTCAAAATTAGTATTGTCCATATTTAATTGAACTTGTCTGTCTTTCTAGATTGATGGATTGGTCTTGTTCAGTCATTCAACATTGCTTCTGTTTCTTCATTACCTAATGGACATCATTTCTTCGTGGAATATACTGGCAACTTAACTTGGGATTTTCTATGGGACTATCCCCAGTGATAGATGAGTATTGCATTGTCTGAAAAGCCTCAATGCATACATCTGAAGGGATCATAATTCATGCAGAGGGTACTAGCTTCAATCCCAGCACTTTATAGTTAAAAAGGTCAGTGATAACATAGGCAATAGAAAATCCAGATGGCTATTGCCAGACAATGTAGATCATATTGAGATAAATCACAGTTCTTCTAAGTTGGGCTTTTCTAAAGGCATAGCTTTATCAATCTGGGCCATATTAGCTAAACATCTCATATAGCTTCATATAATTTAGAATTATGAAATATTCAGAAATTAGTCCTCTATGCATACAACTATATATGCAGGAGCTTAAAATGAATGATATATTTGGAGTGGGAAGCTACCATTTATTTTGCTTATTTGTCATAACACAAAAATACTATGGAAAAGAGTAATGCTGGGTGACTGTAGCAAAGAACCAGTCCAATGCATTAACCACACATGGGACATTCAGGATATTTACCCAATATTTTGCATCATTAGAGTTTTGAATGGTCCACAATCCAATTGCTCAATTGCTGATGAATACAATATCTGTGTTTAACTGCTCCTTTGTAGATTTGGGTTGGCTAGTGAGAAATGATTCATGACAATATGATAGTTTTTAGTCTGTTTCTAAAAAAGGAGATAGACTTTCCAAATATCTTCTTTAAAAACCGGTATCTAAGATTGGTTCATTGTCCATTGTCCTATAAACATATCAAAGATTATTGCTTGAATAATCAACCTAGTATGGGAATCATTTCATAATAAGGATTTGGTTAAAAGTGAAAGAGAGGTTTATAGATTATTGTAAACTTAGTTCCATCTCCTTCCCTCCCTCCCCCTCTGTCCCCCCCTCTCTCACACACAGACAACCATTAAAAAAAGTTGTGGTTCAATGGTTGAAGCTAAGTAATAGTTGACTTTTGCTTCTGGCATTACTTCAAGCAATATGGGGATACAATCAAAAGACAGATCATGACATCTTGGCAACTTCTTCCAGAGAATACATGAACTGGAAAAAAAAGGTACTTATTTTACTTCAAAAGCTTTATAATCCTCTTCAAGATCAGTAGTTGAAATGGATAGGGGTTCTTTTTTTAAGAGAGGGAAATGCCTTTGGTAGGCCTTATTCAGTTGGGGGACTTACATTTTCTCACTGCATCACAATTTTTCGAAGCAGTCAGTGATCACAAAAAGACATTTTCAAGGGACCAAGATAAATCTGAAACTTTGGAACTGATTTGTCATCCTACCTACTCCCATCCAAATTATTTTCTCTTGCATTTCCCCTCCTACCATTCTCCTTCAATTTGATGGAAAAGGCTTTACTTTGGAAATGTCCTTCAAAGGGAGAAGGGCATTTCAATGCACTACTTCTAAAGGGGATACTATGGAGTTCCCTTAGTACTATGGATACTATGCTTCAACCACAATGATACACATGCAAACAATCGATACAAACTCAAGGTAAACTGCTTCAAATTCATTTGCAGAAAATATGACTTCAGCAACAGAGTGGTCAACACTTGGAATGTTCTACCCAACTCCGTTGTTACAGCCTCAAACCCTCACAGCTTCAATCTCAAACTGTCTACCATGGACCTCACCCCATTCTTAAGAGATCCCTAAAGCGGGGCGTGCACAATGTCCCTCTCTTACTGTCCCCATTTATCTGTATTTACTTCCTTCGTTCATGTTTATGTTCATACCTACACTTGTTAATTTGTACATGTTTGACAAACAAATAATATAAATAAAGTGCTCTTTCATCAATTTAGTTGTGAGAGGATGAAGAGTTAATTGTGATTTAACTGGTTTTTCCATATAAAATTATCTCTGCATCAGTCTGCAGGTTTCTTATGCTTTCATCCCAAAGAAATTAACAGTAGGCTTCCTGGACTGGGAAGCGTAGGCATTTAGACACACTTCATAGTTAAAAAATTCCACCAAGAAAATTTTGAAAGGAATGTTCCATTGCCCTCACGAATGGTATAAAAACAAAACTTCCTTTTGGAAAGGAAGAAAACTTTTAGTGCATCACAAGACAGATTTTAGCACAGCATTAACAGCAACAGATCATTATTTGTGACCTAATTAGTATTACTTTTTCTATTAGAAAAATAGGGTGTTACATTATATTAAGATCATGCTATAAGTACTGTCTACATATTCTCCAAGACTTCAGGCTGGGAAACTTTTCAGCTCCTCTGCATATAACCAGAGATTAAATTTAAGACTTTTTTTTAATGCAAAGCATGTGCTTTTTCATTGAACTATGGTACTTCAGGGGAATTCTTCACATCTTTTCTGTGAATATTAATCAGTTCAGGAGAATGAAATGCCTTTATTTAGGAAGTGCAGGGTTTCACCGTTGGAACTAACATGTTAATATTAGCAGTCGATTCAGGTATTTATATAATTCCTGAATAGAAGGCTAATATTAACATGTTAGTTAAATGCTGGAAAAAAATGGAGGGATTTTGCATGTTTATATAATACCTGAATAGAAGGCCAATATTAACATGTTAGATAGACGCTGGAAAAAAATGGAGGGATTTTGCATATTTCCAACCTGCATATGTTGAGTTCAAGAGCTAAAGGTTCCTCTCTATAATGCTTTACTTTTCAAGACTTCCTGGTCACATGGAGAAGTCCTTCTTCAAATAGGGGCCTTTTCAAATCATAAATTCATATGTCTGACAGGGACTGTTTTTATTTGCATTTCTTTTTAACCAGGAGGC